TTCCCAGGAGCATTAATATGAAGTTGGGATGGAAGTGGGGCAGTCGGGGCTTGATCTGATGTCCATATGGGATGCCAGCCTCACAGGAGGTGGCTGTATCCTCCATGCCACAACACAGGTCCCTGTCACTGGCGGTTCTGAAAGAGTTTAGGTGTCTGAACAAGTTATTATCCCTAAAACATAGGGCTCAAGAATCTCCTAAGACTCTCTTGCCTACAACTAACTTACACCATAAGAAGACCGTGGGAAATAATCCTGACTTGAGCCTGTTGCCCATGTGCTGCCCACAACCTGCCCAGCTCTTCGGGCACTAGCCTCCCTCTGAACATGAATTTTTTTTTCCCCTTTCCTGGAGTCTCTCATTTTCTCCATTGTATTCATTCAGAGTAGGGGAAAAAAAGACTTCATAAATGTCAGTTCATATTCCAAGCAATTTGCTATAGGCAACTACACCATTACTTTGTACAAATAAATTTACATAAATCATTATTAGAATGTTTTATCTTGGCAACATTATTTGGTTCCCAGAGCACAAATTAAATGCATGCTTAAAGCAGAATGGTTTAAAGTTATTCCTATATTGTTTATGAGACAGGATTAGAAATTTCCATCTAATTTTTCTTTCATAATGGAATTCCTTGAATTTTCTTTGTACAGTTAGAAACCACATGGATAATTTTCGGGGGGTGGATGTTTCTTGAAGCAGGCCATGTCACGATGGATTCATTTTTCAGTGGCTGTTCCCTTTGATTCCATGCGTTTGGTTTTGAACACTGATTAGGGAGGCTGGGAACCAAGGAAATGACAACACAGCCGCACGACTAATGGCTCTTGGCTTCAAATTATTCTGCAAGCAAACTGGTCTTTGGTTGTGGCTGGGCTTCATTTTTTTTTTTTTTTTAACAAAGAAATTTGTAAGTAGACTCTCTGAACTCAGTTCTGCGGAGCTGTTGGTGCTGGGATGGTGCCTGTCTGGATCACGGCACAGCACATGACAAGTCCTTGCTGGCCAGAGATTGACTCCACCCTAGATTTCAAAATAGAGTCTTTTCCATGCAAAACACAGTGCCCAGTTTCAACACAAGCTGCAACTGTCAACGTCAGGGCAGGGACAGGATGGGATGAGGAGTCCTGCAGCCCTCCCGGCCCTGCTCTTTGCTGGGGGCTAAGCAGCAGGGGCAGACAGCCCTGGCTTCAAATCCAAGCTGCTCTCTGTGTGAGCGTGAGCAATTCAAAGCTTTCTGCATCTGTTACCTCGTCTGGAAGGGAGATGAGGATAGCCACGGACCTCAAGTTTTTAGGGTGGGGGGGGACTCAAGAGGGAGACACATTATAGAGCTTCGGAGTCTGGACCTTGGGAAAGACTCAGCAGACAGCAGCTAACACGGATCCGAAAGGAAGATGCGGGAGTCCAATACAACAGCTCCTACTAGGTATTTCCTGTGGGTGTGCAAGGGTCATGTGACAACTTTCAGCCAATGGACTATGGATGGGGAAGTGGCTTAGGGTTTTGCTAGTTTAAAGCATTTAAGGAGAGAGGAGAAGGGTTCTTACCTCCCGACTTGGGCCTGACTTAACCCTGACTGCTGTAGGAGTTGAGGAGTGGGCCAGTGCACAGGAGATCTCTGTCTCTATCTCTGCCTCTCAAATAAAACAAAAATAGGGCCCGGCACAGTAGCCTAGCAGTTAAAGTCCTCGCCTACATGTACCAGGATCTCATATGGGCACCAGTTCTAACCCCGGCAGCCCTACTTCCCTTCCAGCTCACTGCTTGTGGCCTGGGAAAGCAGTTGAGGACGGCCCAAAGCCTTGGTGGGAGACCTGGAAGAAGCTCCCGGCTCCTGGCTTCGGGATTGGCTCAGCTCGTCACTGCAACCACTTGGGGAGTGAATCATCAGATGGAAGACCTTCCTCTCTGTCTCTTCTCCTCTCTGTATATTAGAATTTCCAATAAAAATTAAAAATAAACTTAAAAAACAGGATCCGTTGATGAATGTGGATTCTCAACCTGCCTCTTCTCATGGTGAAGCGATGTCCCCACCCCAAGATGGAAGAGGGACAGGTCCCCAAGCCTTTGTCTGTGGGAAAGACACACTGGCCGAATGAAATGCCGATTGAGGAACACACATTCACGGCATTTGAGCCTCTGAAATTTGGGGTCTGCTTCTTAACCTGATAGCTCACAGCTTGCCTGGTTCAGCCTGCTGGTAAGGCTAGAACCTGTTCCTCCAGTCCTCACCCTAGTTATCATGCACCAGTATCATAAAATCCTATCAGACTGGGAAATAAACATTGCCAAGACTCGATGCCGTAACTTACCCACGGTAGATCTTCAATGCTTAACTGATCCTAACAAAAACTCTGCTTTTTGTTTCAAATAAACTAGCCCAAATCACTGGCAGATAAAAAGCTCCAAAATCAAGGTTACTGCTGATTGATTTCATGTTTTAGTTAATTCCAGAAGTCTGGATAGCTCATTTTAAAGACAATCCTAAGATGTAAGTTCCTGGAATGATAAGACCTAAGTGCTGATATATATTTAATTTAAAGAGGTTGGAATGAATGGGAAAACACAATGAGGGTAGGATCAGCTCACTATCTCAAGCTGGAAACTTCCTCTTGTCTTCTTCTCACTCTAACCCTGCGCATTCTTCAATCCTCCTTTCTCAGTAGGCCCACTCTTTACATTTGGCAAACACCCCTATCATATAAGGGCACTGCAAAAACCGACAGAAGACTGAATTAAAAGGTACGCGTGTTTTGAGGAAGTCACGACTAGGGACACCGGCCTCCCAGCTCCGACTGCCCGGGGTCAGGTCCTCACTCCATTTCCAGTTCCAGCTTCTGGTTAATGCAGACCGCGAGAGGCAGCAGGTGAACACCCAGGTGGGAGGCTCAGGCTGAATTCCTGGCTCCTGGCTTAGGCCTGCTCCGGCCTTGGCTACTGCACGTTTCTGGGGAATGACACTACAGATGGAAGATTTCTCTCCCTTATACTCCTTCTTTTTCTCTGCCTTTCAACTAAAGTAAAAAAAAATAACAAAAATTAAAAAAAATATTTTGAAAGCCATAAGGAAATTTCAAAAGGTTTATGGGAAATGTTTTTATAAAAGAACTGCAGATTAGACTGCACATGTTTTTTTAGACCAAATAGACACTTGTTAGTTACACTTTCCCATAAAGGTTTTGAAGTATTCTTGTTCAAGTGCCTGGACCAGGGGTTGGCAAACTTGTCCTGTAAAAGGTCAGGCTATGAATGCTTTGTGGTTTCTATCGCCCCTATTCCATTCCATCACTCCATCACAGTGGCTGGTGTGACCCCAAATGGATGAATACAGCTGTGTTCCAATAAAGCCTTCTGGACAGAAATTTCACTTCTGTAGAATCCTCAAGAGGCACAAAAATTTTAGTTTCCTTTTCAATTTTTTCCAGTCAGTTAAACCTTCTTAGTTTGCCTGTTGTGGGCCAAGGTGGTTTTCTGACCCCTGGTCTGAGCTTCCAAGGGAAAGGGCCACCTTCTCTTAGGCAATCACGTGAATGGAAGGAGAACACAAATGCTGTCATCCTGGTTCCTTACTTCCTGCTGGCTGGGGATGCTGGGTTGTGACTGCGGCAGACTTCTGAGCCGTGAGCATGCCCAGGCAGAGCGCAGCCAGGAAGAGGTGGGCAATCGGAACAGCAAGAGCCACGGTGGCAAATCCAAGTAGCACCTTGAAGATGCAGGTTAGCAAAAGTCACCATTGCTTTATCTGGCTTGACAAAAAGTTAGAACATCTGGCTCCTCCTCTCTGTGGCCTCTGCCTTGGCCGTGATACCTGACTTCTGTCTTTCAGAATTCTCTTGAGATGCTCTTGGCATCAACTTACAAACTCATGTTCTTGGCTAATGCTTCCTGCCCTCGAGCTTTGCTTCTCAGCTCGGAACTGCACCTTCTGAATTGCTGGGTCCAGAGCTCAGGCAACCACTTGGATCATCCTGGGGCCATGTCTAGCCATGCATGCCTGGTGGAGCTGGGAGTGACGCAGAGATGGGTGTGGAAGAGACGAGTAAATAATCAGATAGACAAGCAGAGGCAGGGTATGGACAAGCCCAGAGAAGAGCCAGGGCCGAGAGATTACTGTCACTGAGAGGAGGCTGCCAGCCAAGGTCCCTTGGTAGCAAGGCAGGTGCAATTTTCCCAGGTGGCCATTCTCCAGGATTCCCTAAGGGATCCAGGCCCGGAAGGGGATCTCCTCTGGTTGGGACCAGAGTAGTGGGATTGTATGAACTCTCATCCAGAAAGCCAGGCCTTCACCACCCAGGTTCCCCGTGGGTTCAATTCCCTTCTTCTCTTTCCTTCTTCTGTCTGTGCAAATGCTATGCAGAGGCCCTCCCAGTCCATGAACTCTTCCTTAATTATTTCCATCTTAATCCTCAAAATGTTTCAATTCCCTGAATCCAGAGGTTTACTTTGTGCATACAGCCCAGCCCCCAGCTGAACACCACCATCTGCCACTTGCTCCTAAGTTAGTCCTGCACTGGGCTAGATTGTAACTTGCCTGAAGATGGGAACCAGTCTTAACACCATTCTATCCCCATCTGCCCAACCACACATCACAGGTACTCAGTAATACTTATAAAGCTCAACTAAGAGGTACAACATTTGGACAATTAATTCAAGTACAGCACAGTCTTCTGGGAGAAAAGATCACTTAAGAGGCACTTAGAGCAGAAGCTGGCTTCTACATGAAAATTTCCAGAGATGTTTCAGTTGCTTTGCAAGTCTACAACACACACACCAGAATTTTAAATAAAGACTGGATTCAACATGTTCAATCATCTTAATGCCTAAATTAGATTGACCACCCTGTCCATCCGGGCAGCTGCATAAATGGATCATTAAGAAGACTGGAGGGAGGCGGTGGGGAGGATGCCATTGGAGGAAGAAACAATCAATTCTGCATTTGCATTTGAATACAGCCTTGCTGTCCCCAGGCGAGATGCGGGGCTTGTGGACTTACCTGAGTCGGAATGGGTCCAGGAAGCCGAGGTCAGCATCGCTCCTTCACAGAAAGAACAAAGGGACCTTCATCATCACCAGAGGATGCTTCTGGGGGCTGGAGGAGAGGAACGGAAGGAAGGCAAGATCAGACCCAAGAGCAGAGAGATCCCTACACACACGGCATCCCAGGGTATCACTTTCTATCTCCAGAAAGTGACATGCGTGAATGGGAAAGTCAATTGCAACGGAACCTCTTTATTTCTTGGATAGTTCTTCAAGGACTGAGTCCTTGAAGATGGAGAGTTGTTGAAATGGCCTCATGGGATTTAGGAGGACCCAATAATTTGAAAATCCATGCCACAGACATTGTGTGACTATCTTTTACGATCCCTGTCATTGAGGTATCATGAACTCTCCTACAGTTACTGCTCAACCACCCTTGCCTATCCACGGGAAAACACTAGCACCCCAACATGCTTTGCAGCGCAGCGTGCGCCTCACAGACTGGCCAGGTAGACCCAGGCCACAGGCTGTAACGCCAGATGTTCTGTCCTACTGTTCCAAAGGCAATTACTCCGGCCCTAGTCCTGGACACTGGCTAAGTAGGGTACAAGTCCTGAGGCCACAGTTAACCAAGAATCTTGGAAAATAGGGAAGTTGGGATTTTACATCTGATGAAAGATTTTTTTTTTCCCTTTTAGTGTAGGCCTAAAAGATGACCAATGAACTCACTATGAAAAGAATGGTATTATGCTATGAGCTGCAGTGTGAGAATGTTAGGAAATAGGTTTGCTAGGTCAGTGGTTCTCGGTCTACGATCCGTACACGAGCAGCACCAACGCTATTGGAAAAAGAATTGAAAATCCGGATCCTTAGATGTGACCTTGTTGTAGGGTTTTGGACCCCGAGTATGGCAGCAACCTCAATTCTTGTCTCGCAGGAAAGAAGAATTTTTGTGTGAACACAATTTAGTTTTAAAGCAAGATTTATTAGAAAAGTTGAGAAGAGAGACTCCTGTCCTAGAGACAGGAGTGGGCTCTGAGATAGGAAGGACCCTTACCCCTTGCCATAGTGGCAGGAGGAAAAGTGAAAAAAGACCCTAGTCCTCTGCCATAGTGGCAGGTGGAAAAGAAGAACCCGTATTAATGGTGGGGAAAGCATCTTTTAAAGGTTTACCTCAAAGATGTTTCTCCATAAACAAAGAAAATTCCTGGTTTCCAGGGTACCTGGCCTTGGGACAAAAGGCCAGAAAGGTGTCACTGGCCAACTTCCTTGGTCCCTTTCTAATGATAAAGAGGCCAGCGTGAAGCCCTCCCCCTTGGCACTGGCTGGAGACAGAATGGAGCTGAGGCTTCAGGAGGGGAAGCATTCCTGGGGATGCTTCTTGGGGAAGCATTCCTGATAAGATATGCACTTGTCTCAGGAGAGACTGCTCTGGTGAATCCAAGACATGGTGGGGAAAATTCTCTTTTATATAAAAAAGTGACTTGGGGACCCAGAATAGCCTAACTGCCTACTGCCCAGTCTAACTCACAAGCTGAGGTTATCTGGTTATCTGTGTTTTAACAAGCCCTGCATATGACTGTTACACACCTTAGATCTCCATCTACTCAGACATCTATTCTATTGTCATAAAATCCACATTACTTTCCCCTACCTCACGGTGAAGCTCCAGTGAGGGACAAGGCACTGAGCTGGGGATTAGGGACGAGTCCAGGGGAAGCAGGGAGAGGCTCTGCAGAAATGTTATCGCCTACCGTGAGATGAAACACACACCGGGCAGTTCAGACACTCACAGACTAAGCTTTCTTCAGACAGCGGGAGGGTTTCCGAGGAAAGCTTTACTTCTGGTTGAAATGGGGATGCTGGTAAGGGACAATGGCCACAATAACGGGTCGATGGAGGCTGGGACTGGAACAGCAACAGCCAAAGCAAACAGGGCAATCGCAGAAGCCAAGGCCTTGGAGGTAGAGAGTGTGAGAGGGCTATCGAGGGCACAGAGGAGCCAGGTCTGGCTGATACCCGAGAGTGAAGGTGAGCTGGCTGAGTCAAGGTCACCTCCACCTGCAGACAAGCAGAGGCCCACATGTGGCTTCTGTTTCTTCGGTAAAGACCATGCAGCCTGCACCCATGGCTTCCGTTTGTTTACAAACCAACTGCAAGATTTCTACCTCCAGTTGGCTCCTCTTTTTTTTCCCCCTTGCGCTGCATTTTCCAAAGTGGAGAAGCTTAGGCACTTCAAGAATTGGCAGCTGAAGGTTTGCCCAGGAGGAAGAATTTGAAAGAAAATGTTAAAGTAGGTGCAAGAGGCTGGATGGCCTCAGGCCATTCTGCAAAGGGACCAAGCAGGACCTAAAAAGCTCCCAAGGCTATTGTGGTTGTACATTCACAAAATAACTTGAGAGTGCTGCTTTTCTCATAGAAGAAAAATGAATTAGTACTCAACATCTCCAATTAAAGGGGAAAAAAATGCACCTTTCATGATCACAAAGTTACAGCTTTTGCCTCTAGAAAACAGACATAAATGGATTTTCCTGATGTTGGTAGATGAGTTGTGGGATACTGAAAACATTTTTGACGTTACACCAAAGTGCTGATCAAAATGAAGCAGAATTTGATATTAGCAATATCAGCTTCTTCATCCCTGATCTGCCACTTAACCCTCTGAGTCATTACAGACGAGGAGCTAAATCCCTAAGCTGTGGATGGCACTAACATAAGGCTACTTTCTCAGAAATCTAAATTGTAAAATAGATAAGGGAGTCTGGGTTAGCTGAGCCATTAAGATACACACTGCAGGCCTGGTGGGATGGCTCACTGGTTCATGTCCTGGCAGTCCTGCTTCCCATCCAGCTCCCTGCTTGTGGCCTGGGAGAGCAGCTGAGGATGGCCCAAGGCCTTGGGACCCTGCACCTGTGTGGGAGACCCAGAAGAGGCTCCTGGCTTCAGATCAGCTCTGCTTTGGCCATTGCAGCCACTTGGGGGGTGAACCAATTGATGTAGGATCTTTCTCTTTGTGATTCCTCTCTGTGCATCTGCCTTTCCAATAGAAATTAATAAATCTTAAAAAAAAAAAAGATCAAATTTGTACATTGTAGGAACAGGTTTGATTCCTCCGTCTGGTTCCTGAGTAGGGCTTCTAGCTAATGTGGACCCTGGCTGGTCACAGTGATGGTTCAACACATTGTGTTCCCCCCATTCATGCAGGGGCCCTGGATTAAATTCCCATCTTCAGACCGGTCCAGCCCTTGCTGTTTTAGACATTTTATAAGTGAGCCTGTGGGTGGGAGCTTTCCATTTGTCTGTTTCTCTTTATGCCTCTCAAATTTATAAAAAGAATAAGAAAAAATTTTAAAGATTGATTTATTTGAAAGGCATTTATAGAGAAGGATTTAGAGAAGTGTTGTGGCCACTGGTTCACTCCCTAAATGGCCACAACAGCCGGTGCTGGACCAAGCTAACGCCAGAAGCTTCGTCCAGGGCTGTCATACGGGTGCAGGCTTTTAACGACTGAGTCATCTTCCGCTGCCTTCCGAGGCACATTAGCAGGGAACCGGATTAGAAGCGGAGCAGCTGGAACTTGAACTGGTGCGCCTACGAGATGCAATCACCAACATGGTGGCTTAATCCTCTACGCTATGATGCTGACCCTGAAAAACTCGTAAAAGTATGAAGTTGCTGAGAAGTTACGAAGTGGAATACTACAGAGACATGTGGAATTACCCTCCTCGTGGAGACACTTGGACGCTAACTATCGCGCCTGATTGTGCTGGCGTTTGAAAATGCTGTGTAAAAGCAAAATGTCCCTCACGCCCTTGAGCTTCTCCTTTTCAGTATTTGCAGATAGAGCAACTCTGAGGAAGAAACCTGGCATCAACCATCCGTTCTCCCAAGAAACATTTCAAGGTACATTTCTTAGTTGAAATTTTTTTTTTTTACTATTATGATTATATTTCTCTGGCCACAAGTGAGCATCAGGGCAGATTCCAGCAGCTGCTACGGAACACACCTCGGTCTGCAGCAACCCTGACATACGTGATGGCATCATTTATCATCTCTGCAGTAGTTTAGTCCCAGCTGGACCATTTCCTAATTTACTTCCATATGTAACTGGCAGAGAGATTAATCGGGCTTCCAACTCGGAAACCTGAATTGTTGTGCTTTAGTCCCTTAATAGGCTGACTCTGGGCAGGAAGAACACGTTGACCTATGAAAAGTGAGAGTTTCTCTTTCAAAAGCCTGTAGCTCTCAGCTGTGCGCATGCACACACACACACGCACACACACACACACACACACACACACACACACACACACACACACACACACACACACACACACACACTCTCTCAACACAGCTTGTTGTTTTGTGAGCTTGGAGAGCTGGCTTGCTCTTCAGAACTGTCCGCCACAACTACGGCCAGAAATGTCACACCCAATCAGGTGCAGTTGCAGCCACGTTCCCCTCCTTGTCTGCAAGGTCACGGTCTCAGATTTCTGAAACTAAGGAGATCTTTTTGCCGCGGCGCCGCACCCAGCTGGCCCAGCTATGCGGTGCCCGGGCACTGGAAAGTATGCACTTTGTTTTTTCCACTCTTTTTAAGGGTCTGAAGTTGACTGAATTTCGCAGCTGCCACCTCTGCAGGGAGGTGATGGCCCATGGATGGTTAGCTTTGTTCCCAATTCTCCTGGGCCCAACTCTCAGTCCACTTGTGTTTTTAATGCTATTCCAGCGGTATCAGCTCTGTGCAACGAGTTGGTTAATGGAACTGTCATCACCCGAGGTGTTTACATACAGAAAGTGGGCTAATGTAAACACGGGGCTGATCAGCTGTGCCTGCCTTCTGTGGAACCTGAACCCAAGGCCAGCACTAGGAAGACTCAACACACAGACCCACGCAGGCCCACGCAGGCTTGCTCGGCCACTCTGAAGCTTTGGAATAGTCCCTTAGTGGTTCGGGTTTAAAACTCCTCTGTAAATCAGTTGAGCTCCTTTAGGTTCCTTTGAAATAGAAATCTCAGGACTCAATGAACAAGAAAAAAAAAAGCAGCCAATCATCTGGCTCCTGTGTTTAGCTGGTGGCAAACGGCAAGTCAGATCTTCTGCAAGTTACTC